TGGGATGCCGTCTCCTCCTTTTGCGAAGCAGTCATGCTAGCTAAGGAGGAGGCGGGACGCGTGAGGCAGCGAAGCGCTGCCTCCTCACAACCCAGCCATCGCGAAGGACACACCGGGCGTCGGGGATCGCGGGACGATCTCCGGCCACCGTAAGCGCGGGACTGCGGACGGCGAGCATGGGTGGCTCCCCGTCCGACCAGAAACAGACCCGAGCGTACGGCGCGTCGCGTTCCACGCGCGCCCGAAGAGCCATCAGACAACCACAGATGGGGCCCAATAGAGATGATGCCGATTCGGAGTCGCGGAGAACCTAACGGGTAACCGGGGCTCCGGCTCGACGTGCAGGAGAAGGAACGGGGTGGTTTTTTGTCAGTAAGAGTCTGACACTCCCTTCCGCCTCACCCAGGCGGGAGCAGTCATTCGATGATTTTCGCCCCTTAAAAAAAAAGACGTAGCTACCACTCACTCCTAAACTTTGATTCGTTTTATCCAAGTATTGTTTTCTTAAACGACAAAATAAAAAAATACGTGTCTCGGACTAATTAGATTTTTAATTTTCATAGCCTGTCAACATCCCTATTGTACTTCACAAACACAATTCTTCTAATTTGCACTGTCATTCCTAAAATACTTCTTTCGATACATTTTTGGAACCGATTTCGATACATATTTGTAATGAGCGAGCCTGATTTTCTAAAGTTTTAACTAACCATGACGAATTGAAAATGATTAAAGCTATGGAGAGAATTTCTCAATTAAATTTAATGTTTCACTTACCAGGATTGATCAGTTCTGGGTAATAATCTTTGATTCCATTTCGCAGGTTGAACCTCAAAACGGTACTCTCTCCAATCAAATGCATGCCGTCATCCCATTTACAATAATAATTTACATCTATTAAATAGAAGTATTCGTCTAAAATTTCTGCAAATTTAAAAATATTACATTAGGAATCATCATAACTAGTAGAGGCATAAACTATGACATGCTGCTTCAAGTGCCAACTCATATTTTCTCTAATGTACGTGCTCATATCACCTTCATAGTTACCATACTCTTTGATTTCGAATTTAGTATAATTAATAGTAGTTACTGTTTTGGGAGGCCATCGCAAGGACTCTCTTTGACACAAGAATAGGTATAAACTGCCAGTAGGTAAGCAAAATATTATCTGCTGAATACCGCTTTCAATAACATAACATCACGCCTTTTATCCCCGAAGGGGTAGGCAAGGTGTACATTATGGCACTTAATGTCATTGTACAACGTAACATCAACTTTTCACTATATAAGTTATGTGTACCATGTAATAGGGGAGAGCCTATTGCCATATACCGGCTACTACTGTAAAATGGGGTGAATAGGGGTCCAAAAAAGGGGTGAATATATACTGGGAAATTTTTCCTAGTATCGATTCACCCCTCTTCTGTCTCTATTCGCCCCATTTTACCGTTACTGATTTTTCTTAAAAAACCCAGTAATACTTTGCCCGACCCGGGAATCAAACCCGAGACCTCTTGCAGGCAGTCGCACTTGCGACCACTCGGCCAAAGAGGCAGTCACCAAACCAAGCAAACAACGCTTTCAATAAAACGTGTGATAATATAGTTTACATTCGTTCTAACCATTGCTCAAGGTCTTTGTTTTAACTAAATTTCGAATATCCTGGATCTCGGTATCTATGGCACTCTGTTTCTCCTCTTCTTGTTGTGCAATCATTTGCAGCGGGACGCCAGTAGACGCATACTTTGTGGTAGGCATGTTGCGCTTTTCCTTCGCTTTCATGGCTATTTCCTCATACTTCGCTCTCGCTGAAGGTGGTAAACTCTGAATAAACAAAATAAGACATTTTATGTTCTCGAAATATGATTTGTTTTTTATGTAACTAAAAATAAATGAAAGCTAAAAGGCAAAAAATAAAAATGTGGAAGCGCCACTTGTCCGTAAGTATTTTATTTTTTTAGTTTTAAGCGAAGCTTTACAATTATGTTACTATAACGCATACGGGTGTAACATTCTCACCAATATATACAGTACAATATATTAAAATAACCACCTATTTACTACATGAATATGAATATATACATACGATAAACATACCAAAATAACATTACATTTTTATATTTTTTTTCTCTTTGTTTATCAGTATAAAGATTAGCCAGTGCTAATGGCTCTGGAATGGCTAGACCAATTTTGACGGGACTTTTATTGGCAGGTAGCTGATCTACTAAGGAGTAACATAGGCTACTCTTATTATGGAAAATACAATCAAAAAATTATGTCCTAAAATTAATATTCTACGCGAACGAAGCCGCAGGCAACAGCTAGTATAATATATTAATAAGCCTGAACAGAAGGTAGCTACTGCTAACCGTTGAGGAGTTTCCTTAACTATCATACTTCTTAATCATCAAGCCCCTAATGACCATCACACTCCATCTAGGTGTAAAGTTCACATCAATACATCAAGCCCAAAACCGGTGTAAATCCTCGGAGGAGTTCCCTCGACTATTGCCCGGCTGCATCATCAGATCGACTGCAGAAGTGCAGGCCTTTATCAAATTGTAGTGCTCTAAAGTAGGTACTAAATGAAAAAAATACGAAACGCTCTAGTCACTCCTAACAGTTTTTCAAAAGTTCTTTCGGTTTCCCTAGAAGCCCTTTATCAGATCCTGGCTTGGTGAAAATGGGACCATCTTTCCAACAATAAAAGAATCATCAAAATCGGTTCGAAAACGACGAATTTATCGCTGAACAAATATAAAAAGCACATAGGATCGAATTGAGACACCAGCTGTTTTCTAACAGCTAGGAAAATATTTAGGTTTTATTATGCTGATGGAATGAATTTGTAGCATGCAGGATGCAGCACCACCCGGCCCGCAGGTATATGCTCATGTAGCAGACATGCGACACAAAACACACTCGATACGCAACAAATCCTCGAACCGCATTCGACATATTCGCTCCTCCACGGGGCATCCTCAGGAGTTGTTGAGCAAATTAATCTATACTAATATTATAAAGAGGAAAGATTTGTACCTACCTATTTTGTATGTTTGTAATGAATAGGCTTAAAAAGTACTGGGCCGATTTAAAAAATTTTTTTACCAATAGATTGCTACATTCTTCCAATTCGACATAGGCTACATTTCATTTTGAAAAAAAAAAATAGGGATCCTTGGTAAAATTTGAACAATGTCACCGAAGGTGTAGAAAAATTAGTCTTAAAATGTCTTTCGTCGAATGCGCTGCCGAAACTATTAGCGATAGAACAAATTAATGTACAACAATATTGAAGAACATCATAATGTCCACAAAAAACTCCGCGGTAGCATATGTCCAACTATTGTAGTTATGTCACTACAACAATCCAAATTTCCAAAAATAATTGTCTAGCCCGTGCGAAGCCGGGACGGGCTAGTAAAATATATAATACCAAATCGATGAAAACAAGCTTTATAATGTACGTAACAAATGAGAACATAATTAGTTAAATACAATTTTGACACTAATAGTTTGATGTTTCAAAATTGCCCTATTATGGTTAATTTGAAATAAATGACATTTCATATCATATATCCACTTGACATAATAATGAAAAAAATTCAACACTAAAATATTGTCAAACATAAAAATTAATAAGAAGAAAAAATTAGAATGTAATGAAATTTAAATTACTTACTATAAAAAAATCGGGACGTTCGAGACACGCGAATGAATTAAACGTCTAAACCCTTCAAATGTCGCGGAGAACCTAACGGGTAACCGGGGCTCCGACTCGACGTGCAGGAGAAGGAACGGGGTGGTTTTTAGTCAGTAAGAGTCTGACACTCCCTTCCGCCTCACCCAGGCGGGAGCAGTCATTCGATGATTTTCCCCAATTAAAAAAAAAAAATAAAACCCTTCAAATAAATATGGACAAGTATAAGAACAAATGGCCCGGAGTTCCCGGCGGACGGGCAACACCCTGCAATAGCAACAGCGTGGGTTCCAGCCAGTCCAGGGGTGCGAAGAATCACTGGGAGTCAGACAGCTGCTGTAATAATACAATTATTCTCCAACACCACATAACACGTTGGATCATACAAAATACGGACGCTTTCTTCAGATGATAGATTGGACTACACGAGCTAGATTACATAAAATGGGATATTTTGGGCCTGTACGAGGTGAGAAGATCCGACGACACATGTATCAAACTACAATCAGGTCATACTTTACAAAGATCGTGATGATAGGAGAAGAGAACACGGAATAGGGATACTAATACATATACGCCTAGAGCGACAAATAAAGACCATAACATCAATATCTGAAATGGGTGTTATACACTATCATACATGTACCCATAAAACATACTCTCATAGTAATGTAAAAGTTGCTTATGTACCTACTACCAACGAAAAAGAAAAGCTTCTACGAAGACATATCAAAAGCAATGGAATCAGATATCATATAACCTATCAGTGGATGGGTGACCTATAAGTACATACATTCGTACTTGTTTTTACCTTTTGCTCGTTTTTAGGTTTTAGTTTTTAATTTTATGCTTTTTAGTTTAGTCAGGGCTATATAGACCCAGTATACTACATATCTCTCACATAGGTGTAAAGCTCTCATCATTACAAATCATTCAAGCTCAAGCACCAGGTACACGGTTAATAATAGCTATTAATCGTTTATAAGTACCCTTAGCTATCATACTTCATCATCAGGCCTCTAATGACAAGCACACCCCATTTAGGTATAAAGTGCTCATCAAAACAAATTTTTAAAGCCCAAAAACTAAGTAGCTACTGTCAGCCGTTGAGGAGTTCCCTTAGGTATCATACTCTTTCATCATCATTCCCCTAATGATAATCATACCCCATTTAGGTGTAAAGTTCCCATCACTTGAAATTAATCAAGCCCAAACACCAGGTAGCTACTGTCAGCCGTTGAAGAGTACCCCTAGCTATCATAATCCTTCATCATCAGGCCCCTAATAATAGTCATACCCCATTTATGTGTAAAGTTCTCATCAATACAAATTAATCAAGCCCAAACACCTAGTAGCTACTGTTAAACGTTGAGGAGTTCCCTTAGCTATCATACTACCTCATCATAAGTCCCCTAAAGACAATTACATCCAATATAGATGTTAAGAGTTAAGTCTTCTCATTACAAATAATATAGCCCTAAACACAGGGGTCATTGCTACAAATCCTCGAGGAGTTCCCTCTGCTGTCCCTTGACTCCATCATCAGATCAAAACGCTCTCACCACCCATACAATTTTGAAAAGTTCCCCCTCGGTTTCCATGGGATCCCATCATCAGATCCTGACCTGGTGGAAATGGGACTACCCCGAGTATGACCTTACTAACAAAAAAAGAATCTTCAAAATCCAAATCACGTAACATACACACAAAAGAAAAAAAAACCATACAGCCGAATTGAAAACCTCCTCCTTTTTGGGAAGTCGGTTAAAAACAACTCATACCATAGTTATAGGAGATTCCAATGCCAAAATTGGTAAAATCCGTCGGAATTGTATTATGGGTTCCCATGGATACGGCGACAGGAATTCTCGTGGAGAAATGCTGATTAATTTTGCTTTTAAAGCTTCTTCTAATAAATTCCTTTTTTGAAAAAGAACCAGAGAGAAAGTGGACTTGACACTCACCGGGAGGTTGAACCAAAAACGAGATTGCCTACATTTCCGCAACCCACAATTCATCATTCAAGATGTAACACTTCTGAATAAATTCTACATAGGAAGCAATCATCGACTTATACGAGTCAGAGTCACTTTAAATTTCATACTAGAAAGATACCCATACTAGTAAAAATTCCTGTTGGAGGTTACACTCGGGGAGGACTGCTTCTGCCGGAGGTGAACTTTGCTTTCAAAATGAACCTCATTAACAGTCAGAAAGCACGCATTTTAACCAGTGCTTCCTGCCAGTCCTTATCTACTGAGTCGAGACTTAGGTGACAACAAAAGCTGTTCTCCAGAGACTAATTGTCACTCAAAGGGCCATGGAACTTAAGCTGACAGGAGTAATTGATAGACCACAGGACTATTTGAGATAATTACACAAGTCCAAACACTAGGCAGTTACTGTAAACTGTTGAAGAGTTCCCTCAACAATTACACTTCTTCATTATCATTCCCTTAATGGCAGTCCCAGTCCATCTAGGTGTGAAGTTCTCATCAATACAAATTAATTAAGCCAAATCACAAGGTAGTTATGGTATACCGTTGAGGAGTTCCCTCGACTGGCTGTCGGCTCCAAGATCAAGTCGACTCCAGACTCTTATCAAATTGTAGTATTTAAAAATCCCTAGAATTTTTGAAAGTTCCCCTCGGTTTCCCTAGGATTCCATCATCAGATCCTGACCTCATGAAAATGGGACCCTGCGGGAGTGTAACCTTTCAAACAAAACAAGAATTTTGGAAAACGGCACAAGATCAGACATAGTAACTCCTTCATTTTTGAAGTTGGTAAAAATGAATGAAAAGTCTAATTGAATATTGTCCCCTTATAATCTGTTTTGTTTTCTTCATGTTACTATTGTTTGCATCTGATGTACACATAAACCTTTTAAAAAAAAGCAGTACTAAGTGATTATAACATTGTTTGGATACTGCCCTTTTGTCTCTCCAATTTATTTTCTGAAAATAATCTAAATTTTTTAGCCCTTTATTGCATACTATAACTTTTATTAAAATTGACTTGATTGACTTTGGACTTGAAAATTTGTATGAAAACCAGTGCCGCATAATCTAAAATGGTATTGATCTACAGTGAAAAACACTGAGACAGAAATGATCCCTAACAGTAGTGAGAAATTTTTAAAAGTAAGATGATGTGTGTAAAAGGAGTATAGAGAGATATCTTTGTGAGAAAAGTGGGTAGGTGCCTGAAGTATATATAAATGTCTGTCAAATATGTAGAATTGTAAATAAAGATGTAGAGTAGAGTGATGATGGGTATGACATCATCAGCTTGGAAGTCCATTGCAAAACTAAAGTGACTACAATAGTCACATGTAGAATTGTACTGAACTATATAGTCAAAAACAAAGGTTCTATGTGAACTGGTAGCTGTAATCCAAGACTTTGCTGCTCAATCCCCAAGCGGTCACCGGTGACTGCTCTCCACTAACTACATTATAGACCTTATTTGTAATGTTTAGAGACTACTTTTGTATGACCAAATTTAGGGGATGGATTTCAACGGGTTAAGTTTCATACTATAGTATGTCCAGCTAGACTATATTCCAACTCTCAAAGTGAGCTTGATCGCGTTCTTTGCATTCTCATTGGTCGAGATTATATTAACAACCAATGACAGGGCAGATCGCAGGCAATCAGAAAAAATGAACCTACTTACTGAGCCTAAACTCAATCTGTTTACTAGTAGTAAGCCCAAGCTTTCATCAGCCACCTTCCTATTCCATTATCAAACCAGTTCACTACCACAGTATTGTAGTGACCTAATTGGCAATATATTAAAGAAGGACCAAATTAAAAGTACCCTAAACCGATGAGCATGCATGATGACTGTTGAGGAAGCAAAAGAGGTATGTAAGAATTGTGGCAACTGGTGTTCCAGTATCTGCCTACCCCCATGGCAGACAGACGTGAGGGTATGTATGTATGTAAGTACCTAGTTATTCAACATAGTTAACTCGTTGAGTACCGTCATTACAGACACAATTAAAGAATAATAGGTTGCGGTCACCGGTGACCGCTCAGTGTTTGACAGTTTAAAATGCATTAACTCGTCGAGTACCGGTTTTGTAGACACAATTATAGAACAATAGGTTGCGGTCACCGGTGACCACTTGGTGTTTGACAGTTTAAATAGCTTCATCGAAGCATCATAGCTCCTCCAGACATAAAAACCATCATGAAATCATTGTGTTAGAATGTGAAAGAAAGCTAAGCCAACAAACACTTGCTTTTACAAGTTTTGTAGAAATATAAGCTGTTAGTACAAGATTATGTAGGTTGCAAATTGAGTGTTATTGGTATTTATTCTTACATACTAATTTATGAATAGGAGGCACTCCACATTATATGCCTACCCACACAGACCAAAGGGTGATTTGATGTGATATGTGACTAGTAAGTATCGATTGATAAAGGTTATTGATCAGTGTCTTTGTAATGCACAAAAAATACTTAAATAATTCAGGAAGACATGTTATTTTTTCTTATAAGAATTAGATACTAATATCTAAGTATATCTTATAAGAATCTACTTAGTAATACATTTGATATAAAAAGAAATGCGGATAATATGTTCTTACCCTCCATTCCGGATCGGCAACTGGGACGACCTCACTTAAGGCCTGATAATGGATGCCTTTTAGTCTTTGCTGTTCTTTGAAATCTAGCATGAAGTAATAAAAACCGCTATTTGGCAATTTTTTGGGCATGATCGCATACGTCGACGTTTTACTAAACAGTATTTAAACTTCTGTACAAATAAGTTCTTCTAGAACGAGAAATTCTTCTAAAAATACGGACTGACAAAGAGATTAAAATTACAAGTACCTACAATGTGCAGGATAGTGCGCAGGTGCAGAATCCTGGATCAATAACTTATTGCTCTACTCCTCTTCTCCTTCACTGCTAGATTACAGTCTATGCACTCGCACGGCGCGCGCAACTCAAAATAATTAATAGCGCAAAAACTTTTTTTTTTTTCTAGCCGGCCGGTTGTGCCAATGACTATAGAAATTAGAAGACAGGAACTGAGTGTTTACATACTTCGCGTGCCAACATAGACTAAACAATATAGGTATATACACTGAGACATGCCAAAATGGAAAAAAAACATGGCGTTAATGGCGCATGGCCTACTGGTGTACAGTCAGTTATTTTAGTTATGACAATTGTCATTAAATCTTTTCTATCTGTATGTTGGTGGAATTAAAAAATGTTACGCGCTTAAAACATTTTACTCAATTTTTGTGGCGTTTCTTCCTCTCTTTTTTAAATGTTAGGATAGGATGTAATGATAAGTATATATTATAAGTATATACATAACACCCACCATTAAGCGCCCTGTAAACGATCAAATTGTTTGTCAAATTTTACGTGTTTGTCAAACAATTTGATAGTGTACAGCTTTGTTTGAAGCGTTTGTCAAACATTCTACGTATTTGAACTGTTTGAAGAGAATTTTGATTGACGTAGCATTTGACAAACGTGTTTGGACGTGTTCCGCTGTGTTTGTAAAATAAGGTCTCATTTGCTGTTCGGATTCGGACAGCATGGAGGACGTACTTTGAGTTCGAATGGCAGCATCGCGAATTTCGGCAGCATGGACAAAATGTCAGATAAAGAATTTACATTACATTTTATATCAATTTACCGAGATATGCCGTTTTGTGGAAAATAAAATCTAAGGATTATAGGGATAAAAAATTACAAATATATTGGAGATTGCTGGTTTTTTTTAATTCTCAGTAGTAGCACGGAGTCTGGAATTAAATTGTGCCCAGTATATGGCAATGGGCTCACCCCCTATTACATGGGACTCATAACATAAATAGTGGGTATTACATTGTACAGTGGCATTAAGTGCCGTAATGTGAAACTCTGCCTACCCCTTCGGGGATAAAAGGCATGACGTTATATTATGTGGTTATTTATTGATTTATTTCTGATTCTGAAAGCAAATTTTCTTGGGTATATTTATCTCCTAATTTTAGCCATTCTCTAGTTCATCATCTTATTTTCCGTTTTTTAATACATAGTAGAGTCAACACAAAAAATGCGTCGTTTATGGACGCATCACAACGACGTCAAGTCACGACGAGGAAAAAGCTGATTCTGGCTAATTGTTTGACAAACTTGTTTGATGCACGTTTGTTCGTCTGTGCTGTTGTTTGGCGAAACCGTGAATTTCAACAAACAAGTTTGTCAAACGAATTTGATCGTTTACAGGGCGCTTTACAATAGTATATGTGACCCATACAATTTTGTATACCCGAGCATACGACGTGTCGCGTCCCTCAAAGAGCCATCAGACCACCACGGATGGGGCCCAATAGGGCTGATGCTGATACGGAGCCGCGGAGGACTTAACAAGTTGCTAGGGCACCGGGTCGAAGTGCAGGAGTAGGAACGGGGTGGTTTTTAATCAGTAAGAGTCTGACACTCCCTCCCGTCTCGTCTCACCCAGGCGGGAGCAGTCATTCGATGATTTTCCCTCCTTTAAAAAAAAAAACAATTTTGTAAGGGAGTTATATTTTATGCTGAATATGGCAACATAAAACTAAGGTTTGCCAATTATACAATACAACATAAAAATAACTGCGAATGGACAATAGACTCCTGCACTCAATCGAATACATTCTATTTATTGTATAATCTATTACATTTAAATCATGTTTCATTTGATTCAATTTCTTATAGGCAATCAATTTTCGAGAGTCGAAGGAAAATTATAAATGCTTATACGTGGTTTCAAAGCAAAGAATTATTTTATCGTTACATTACTTAACAAATAATATTACTGTGTAGGCAGGTCAACTTTTAAGAGTGCCGCATTTCTAAATCAAGTAGAGGTATAACACGAACCCACTTTAATTACAATATCTGAAACAGGTCTTATTTTTTTCTTATAGTTTCACAAGTTAAATTATTAAAAACCCTCAAAGTGTGAGCCCGACTGGCTCTTGATAAGTTTTTGTTTTAAATTTTAAATAAAACAAAATTGATTAAGACTTACATTGTCTTTATTTATTTCTAAATAATACAGTAAATATTGAAGCTACATGAACCACAATTAATTTCTGTCACCTTTTCTGAAGTATTTGTATACCTATCAACTGCAGAAAGGGCAAATAGCTCTGATTTTACCTAAAGTGATATTTACAGTAATATGATAAAAGAGAACAGAATATATTTTGTCTCTTTTCGTTTCATAATAGCATGGTATTTCTGTAACTATGTATTTGTATAGGACAATAAGGCAAGTCCTAGGATTCTTAAGTCATTGGGTTGGCCCCGTATGTCATTAATGACATTGACATTATGATGGCATGATGACATAATGCGATTTGCCATGCATGCATAGTTTGGTCCAAAGTTAGATCTATTATCATATAGATTCCAAATGATTGTCTATGGGTGCAACATATGGGTGTATATAGGTGGAATCAGTCAGAATAGGGCTGATGCCGATACCGAGCCGCGGAGAACTTAACGGGTTACCGGACCGGGAATCCGGCTCGAAGTGTAGAAGTAGGAACGGTGTATTGAGTACTAGTTACTACATTATACATACAATTGTAATATAGTTGTTTTTTTATGTACCCATCATGTATCAATTTTATCACAATTGCTTATTACCATCAAATTATTAATATCATCATATAGGAATGTTTAGGAATGTACAACAAAATTTAACAAGATAGGACAAGGAAAGAACTTATCTTGGGAGTGGTCAGTGTTATTGAAGGGAGGGAGATGACCATTACGTGATATTCTTAACCATAACAAGTGCCTTTAATGTTTTATTTGAAAAAAAAAAACAATATTTTACACAAATTCTATATTATGAGGATATTAAAATGATTCAATATATACAATATATATATTCAATAATTTTTGCAGTTCCTAAATACCTAATTTCGAAATTATATAAATTTCATAGGTTTCTCATGCATTTTCGATAGCATAATATACATAAAAATTATAGTAAAAATGGATATTTATTCAGTATTTATTAAATGGATATTTATTCAGTATTTATTAAATGGATATTTATTCAGTATTTATTAAATGAATATTTATTCAGTATTTATTAAATATTGCTTCACAAATTTTAGCTACTGTTCGGTCTGCTTATCTATTTTAAGTCTGTGGTCTGTCTATGGTGTTTGCATAGAGATGCCAATGCTTGCATATAGGTAGCATCATAGACAACTGTAATTGTAATTATAGACAAGGATTGTCTCTCACTGACGTGACAGATTCTCTTTTTTTCAGTCTGTGTCGTGTCATTGGGATGGTGCTTGGGTGTTATTGAAAGTGGTGTGAATTTAAAAATAATTTTATCGTAATACCTAAATCAAATCATACTTTTCTTAATAAAAGTTGTTAAGTTTTAAAAGAGGTCTTGTGTGGATAATATCGCTCGTTGATATAAAACCAGTCGCTGCTACTAAACAGGTATGTTTATAAATTCATATTTTGGAAATGGAAATGTTTCTTACGACTCTTCTGTTTTAATCCGTTACAGACGTTCGCTGTTTTTAATATTTGGTTTGTATGGATCTAACGGGTGATTTATTCTTGTCTGTAAGTGCGATGGATAGATTTGATTTAAATCATCAATATCCGCCGTGCTGGGAAGTTGGTGCGCCGTTAGTTGCCACTTGACTTGATTTGATTATAGTAATAAATATTGAGGTGGCGTGTCGTTGACGAAAACGTTAACGCTATATAAATATTGGTCTTATAAAGTTTGGAACGAACAAATAGCTTATTTAGAGACCAACAGACGAACATTTTTAATATTTACTTAAATATTTTATTATGACGTTCAAAGGTGCTTTTCTGGTCTTATTGAAATAATTGATTTTGAATCTGACTTAGTACTTTTATTCAGAACTAGCTTGTGCCCGCGACCTCGTACGCTCAATCTCGTTTTCTCCGTCCTTTTTTCTGTCATAAGAACCTTCTCCTGATCATAACAAATGCAACAAAACAAAAAACAGCGTAATCGGTCTCGCCGTTCCCAAGTTACGGTGTGACAACAGGAAACGGGTTTCATAAACCTTTCTAAGAATCACTCTATCTATTAAAAAAAAAACGCATCGAAATCTGTTTCATAGTTTTAAAGATCTAAGCAAACATAGGGATAGACAGAGGGTGGATAGCGACTTTGTTTTATACTATATAGTGATGTCATGAAACTAAGTGGTCTTTAGTACAACACACAAAATAAATTAGTTTTATTGAGAAATGTAATTTTAAACAAATATACTCTGTAGACGGAGTGGCTCAGATTTATATTAACTCATTGAGTACCGTCATTATAGACACAATTATAGAACAACAGGTTGCGGTCACCGGTGACCGCTCGGTGTTTGACAGTTTAAAGTACATTTACTTGTAAGGCACTTCACATTTACACGTACAAAATCATTGAATATATGAACTAAAACGAAATTACCATGTCAACGCCTGGCATGACAAATCATATCATCTTAAATAATCATAAACGGCCTGTACCCATGGAGTTTGGATAATAATATACATATTCTCAACTGCTCTATTTCCCTCTTAAGGTTTTTTATCATTGTGATATATTAAATTATATAGATGTAGCATAAGTATTTTATTTCAGTTAAACAACTTGGTAAATAATATCAACATGCTCTAAAATTGACAGAGAATTGACATCTTCGTTCAAAATAGAATAATATCATGATGGCAATAGGCATGCTGCATCATACCTGGTGCTGAATGAATGTTTTTCTCTCATTCTAATAAATCCTACTAAAATTACAATTACGAAAGTTTGTGAGGATATCCATGACTATGTTTGTTACTCTTTAATGAAAAAAATACTGGACGAATTTGGATGAAATTTGGTATATTTATTTATTTATTTACTTGGCAAATATGTTATCCACTACGTTCTCCACAGATTACTTTTTATATTGAGATCTAGAGTGACACAAATATAGGTACATTTTTCAAATAGAATAAACTAATGTGAAACAAGATATAGAATAGAGATAGATTATTATAGTCTGGAAATACATGGGAAGCACCTCATAATAATATGTGTTAATCGCTGGAGTGCAGGTGAAGCTACCAGCAGAAACTGGTCTATTTTAGTACAATAATTTGATGTGGATGCTCCGAAATGTGGAAGGGTGCAGGGATACAAAGAATCTTCAATGTATATTTAACTTTTCCATTCCACTCCATTGTGTAAATGACAAGATGTCAAACTTTTATCTTTTTTCTCATTCTTTAGTGGTTGTGTTTACTAACATGTACTTCTTCTTAATTATCAACACCTGAACATGTCTACAGTTATGAAATCATAATTATGTAATACATATTTTTTTGTATAATCAGTATTTCATTATTTCATTTTGAGTATTTTATAAATATATACTATATATCTTTATAGTTATTACTGATTGTAACAATGCTGTTTAATAAACTGCTGATATTTTTTCAGTAACTGAAAATTAAGTAGGTATTGATTAATTTATGGAGAATATTTGTGCCTGTAGTGTGGCAGGCAATGCAAATAATAAATAAATGCCCCACCATGATACATTTGTAAGTATTAATAGTTTCTAAATGAACTCAACTTATTAACAAGTTTGTAGTAAGACTTTAATTATGTTAAAATAGAGATACACATTTTTTGGCCTCATTCCAGCGTGCAGCAGTTAAATAAATATTTTAATAATACCTAATAAGAATTATCTTAACGTGGCAATAATCAGCATTATTTCTTTAAACTCTTATTATTATTTTCTTCTTAACATAAAAACATAACATCACGGCTTTATCCCCGAAGGGTTAGTTAGGCAGAAGTGCACATTACGATACTTAATGCCACTGTATATACAATGTAACACCCACTTTTCACTATTTATGTTATGAGTCCCATGTAATAGGGGTAAGTCTATTGCCACATACCAGGCATATTTAAAAAATCTCAGTGCTTCTACTGAGATTAAAAAAAAAATACTTTGCCCGACCCGGGAATTGGACCTGAAACTCCTTGCCCGGCAGTACCATTCGCGACTACTCAGCCAACGAGGCATTCAGTATATTCTCTTCAATCTTCACTAAAGTATGAATTAGTCATGTTTCGGCATGAATGGACGGGGATTGATACTAGGGTCTCACAGAAAACCGGCGTGAAACAACGGCGAGCGTTGTGTTTCGCGGTATGAATGAGAAACCTATTTTATCATTCAAGGTTTGTTGTCTTGACGAATGCAGATTTTCTCATAGCGGCAATTACTATTATTATTAGGTACTTATCAGTACATGAATCAAACAATATAATGTTTTATGACTGTGGCATTACATTACTTATGTATAAAGTTAACTATATTGACAATTTGTTAGTGGAACATCTATGAGGTCATTAATTTATGTTCTACTAGCTTTTACCCGCGACTTCGCTCGCGTCACAAAAGGATAAGAAGTAGCCTATGTGACATATACCAATACACACAGCGCCATCTATACCAATACTTTTGTTCTCCCTCGGGAATATTAAATTTTTGCGGGATAAAATGTACTCTATTATTTAATCCAGGGTTATAACTTTACGTCTGCAAAAATTCAAAGCAATCGGCGTGAAAGTGGAACAAACAAACAAACAAACTCACTTTCCAATTTATAATATTAGAAAGGACGACCTCCCTTACTATTTTCTGCCAGCCTTCGCCTTCGATCGGTTGTATAAAAAGTAGCCTATGTTGTACCAGACCATAATCTACCATTGTTTCAAATTTCATCCCGATCCCTTGAGCCGTTTTGACGAGATTGATTAACAAAGTGACAAACACACTCACAAAGTTTCTCATTTATTTAAATAATACTAGCTACTTACGCGCGGTTTCACACTATCTGCTCAGCTCCTATTGGTCGTAGCGTGATGTTTTAGCCTATAGCCATCCTCGATAAATGCGCTATCCAACACAAAAAGAATTATTCAAATCAGACTTGTACCTAGTTACGGAGATTAGCGCGTTCAAACAAACAAACAAAAATACAAACTCTTCCGCTTTATATAATAGTATAAGAGTATTTTTTTTTAAGGGGGGAAAATCATCGAATAGCTGCTCCCGCTTGGGTGAGACGGGCGGGAGTGTCAGACTCTTACTGACTAAAAACCACCTTCCTTCCTTCCTTCTCCTGCACGTCGTGCCGGAGCCCCGGTAACCCGTTAGGTTCTCCGCGACAGTATAAGAGTATAAGATTAGTAAGGAAAATACTTTAATATTTTTTACGAAAAATCTAGTTAACTACGTAAATGGATTCATGATCACATTTATTACTAGATATGTATTAAATATCATGTCGATTACATACATTTTCTATTTTAGACATTCACTTTCTAGGCAAGAAAACCGCGACTTTTTATCCGACTACGCCCGAAAGAAGGTTATACACTTATGCCTTATATCAGTTTAATATAATTTACATATAATTATCTTCTCATTGGCGTCGGTCTCACAGTCCTCGTGTTAGCAAAAACGGCGTGTTTGGACCTTGTGTTACGTGAATTTCTGCTCACTATAATGACACATAATTGCATTACAATCAGACGGTTCCACCGACTGTCTTATGATTATGGCCGCTGGTTGCGATATATTTACATTTTTGTTATAAAACCTCCCTTTTTGATTGGTTTTTAATGACGATCTAAGTAAATGTAGTCGATTGTAAAGAAATAAGTATAACTGGTTAATGAAGTCTTGAAATGAATGACCTATAACTTTATTTGGAATGACATTACCAACTATGTTTCCAATTTAGTTAAAAAGGTAGTTAACAAAAATCTGAGCCGTGGAAGGCCTAACGGGTTGCCGAGGCTCCGGCTCTGTCAGAGGGAGTCTGACACTCCCTCTCGCCTCACCCAAGGTGGGAGAAGTCATTGGATGATTTCCCCCCTCAAAAAAAGCTTACAAAAACCTAGTCTAGATTTTGTTAAATCAACATTACCAAATTCAACAATATTGAGACGCACATGTTTCAATGAGTTTATTTTATTCCCATCAATCGATTGATACAATACAAGGCCAGACTCCTAGTACTGTTAATACTCTGATTAAACTGGTCCAAATGATTAACGAGATTCGTTTAAGATCGTAAACTGCAATAGAACAGCGGTAGGTCCATTATTGACTCAATATAACGCCTACCGCACTGCTCCTACTCTTTGTTTACACATTATTGTAGGCGTCAAATCAGTTGACTGGCCTCAATGCCACTACGATATGAGATTAACTCGTAATTCATTTTCATAATGGAGGAATACTGAGTGCCTCTTGTGAATCAAACACATTGTAGTTATATCAATTTATGTTCTGGCATTATGCTCGCTGCTTTGTCTGTGGTACTACTATTAATATCTACCCAAACTGTCCACAAGCTACTCTTAAACCTTTCTCAAGAATCAT